GAGAAGGTTAAGCAGCAAATGTTTGGTCTCCAACCATCCTGCGTCCTATCCCCTGCCTGCCTGTCGCAGCGTCTGGGACACACTGCACAGTGTCCAATCGTGTTCACATACGAGACGTGCGAGTTTCCTGGCGGCGACCAGGCGGCAGGAAGAGCTCTGTGTGATAAAAAGGAGGGCACTAACAGCAAAAATGCAAAGCCACGGTGCTGGCATTTCCTTATTCCTGATTCGAGCTGGAAAGCTCACGTTTCTTTTCTCACCTATTTCTGGAATGTCAGAAAACCTTCCTGCACACGTGCCTGGCATTTTTTCAGTGATGGACGGGGACTTGAACCATGGGGTTGCCGTGTGGGAGCCAGCTCCCTTCACCACTGGGCACAGGCAAGCCCGCTGGCTGCTCCTCTTTAAGCTGGAGCACTCCGGGTCCCTGCTTTGGTCTCTCCTCACCCTGCTCCTCTAGACGATCTCATTGATCAGACGATTTATCATGAAATCTAAGAGTCTCTTAAATTCCAAGTGTCCAGAGCATGTTAGAAATAATCACAGGGAACCAGCAGTTAGCATAATGGCTATGTCGCTGGATTCTGTCTCTATGTCTCTGTCTGGCGAGCGCATGCGCCCTATAGCGAAAAAAAAAAAAACCTCTCAAAAGAAAAAAGAAAAAAGAAAAAAGAAAGAATCACAGAGGGGCCGGCAGGTGGCGTGGTGGTTAAGATGCTGGACTCCCACATGACTGACCACAGTTTGAGTCCCAGTCCTGGCAGCTTGCTTTCTCACTTTCTCTTTCTCTCTCTGGTCAAATTAAAAATAATAATAATAACAAATAAAATAAAATATTTTTAAATATTAAAAGAAATAATAATTACAAAAAATATAACTTCTTTTGCTTAAAATTCTTTACACTTCTGCAGTATATATTTTTAGAGATTTTCAGAGCAAAAAAAACCCAACCTTTTTTAAATGTAGGTATTGGCAGGGGATGGTGTGGTTAAGTGTACTGGACTCCCACATGGCTGACTGAGGTTCAAGTCCCGGACCTAGTGGCTTTTTTTTTCACTCTCTCTTCTCTCTCTCTCTCTCTTGCTCTGTCCCTCTCTGGTCAAATTAAATAGATAAATAAATAAAAGTAGGGACCAGCAGTTGGTGTATTAGCTATGTCGCTGGACTCCCATGTAGTCAACCACGGTTCAAGTCCCAGACCCAGTGGCTTACACTCACACCAGGCACGTGTGTGTGCGTGCCCAAGATCCTGAGAGGACAACAGAGGAGAAAGGATTGCGGTGTGGCCATCCCCCTGGGGAGCGATTTCTTGCTTTCTGTCTCTCTGTCTCTCTGGCGAGGCCAGGGGAGGGAACACCAGGAGCCCACGCCTGTGCCTGGCACCTGGCACAGCAGAGCTTCGGCCAAGGCCACAGTGTCCCTGAGAATGGCCACCTGAGGGCCCCCAGCACCAGAGCCGGACAGCACTATCCTCTGGCTTCTTCCAGTCGCCTCGGAGAAGACCTGTACTCTGGCGATCATCAAACCAGATGCGGTGGTCCATGGGAAGACGGATGAGATTATTATGAAGGTGAGAGACACTTACCGTGGACGCCTGGCCTCGTGTCCTCTCTGGTGGAGGGGCGGAGAGAGGGCAGTGGGCAGCGCGCCCTGTGGGACGACGGGTTCCCAGGAGGGGTAACTCCAGTGCGGTCCACGTAAATGACCACGGTACATCGGAGCGGGGCAGATGGCGCGGCAATGCAAGTCTCCACCACGTTTAATGTCGCCTAACTGTAGTTTTCACATTTCAACTAAGGTAAATGTGAACTGAAGCTGATTTAGCCTTTCAGCATATTTCTATGTATTCTCCAGATCCAGGAAGCTGGGTTTGACATTTTAACAAGTGAAGAGAGGACCTTGACGGAGGCAGAAGTACGGCTTTTCTACCAGCACAGAGCTGGGGAGGTCAGCTCGGCGGCCCCCACGGGTTCAACACGCTCCGTTTCTTTCTCTGCCTCGCTGCTGGGTTTACAGGCTGCCATTAGTTGGGAAAAAACAGAGTATTAGGAAGAACAAGACTAGGACGGCGAGTGGGTCAGGAAGTTGCTCAGGTTAGTAGTTTAGGCTGTATCAGGTAACGTCCTTTGGTTGCAAGGAAAACGTTTTGACTCTTAGTAATGAAATAAGGAGTTTATTCGACGATACTCCATAACTCACATCATTGAAGGAAGCAAGGTGAAGAGTTTAACAAGAAGGGCTTCGGGAGAAGAGCCAAGGCAGTTCCAGGGGTCTCAGAAGCAGAGCCCCGTGACTGTCACTTCAACGATGCCTGGAGAACTCAGACCCCGCCACCTCATTTGCCTCCACGTATCCCTCACCTGCTCGGGAGACCGGCTGACCTGCTCGGGTACAGCCTCCCCGCCCAGGGTAGTGGCGTGTGCATGCCGGGGAGGTGGGACTGCTCTAGTGCGTCTGTTGAAAATAGAAAATGGCCAAGCCTGAGCAAGTAAAGAGACTCTGTAACAGGGCTGAGTAACAGCTGATGGTGTCGGGGGCCACCTCTGCTGAGCGTCTTCTGGCTGCCTTGCCAGGAGTGCGGGCATCTGTGTCCATGTGTCTGTCCTGACCTCATCCCCTTCTGTAAACCCACCAGGAGTCAGTCATGGTGCGAGGACACTCTCCTTCCCGAGACCCCGTATTTTTTTTTAAGAGAGATTTTTTTTTTTTTTTTTTTGGCTATAGGACATAAATGTTCATTGGACAGACAGAAAGAGACAGAGAGACAGAAAGTGAGAAATCACCCCCCGGGGCGGATGGCCATACCACAATCCCTATTCTTTCAACCTCCTATTGGGATTTTGGACACACACACACATGCACCCAGCGTGAGTTTTAAGCTGCAGGGTCTGGGACTTGAACAGTGGTTGACTATGTGGGATTCCAGTGATGTAACCATTATGTCATCTGCTGGTCCCAACACCCTACGCTTCTTTTTTTTTTTTGAGAGGTTTTTGCTATAGGGTGCGTGTGCTTGCCAGAGAGACAGAGAGACAGAAAGCGAGAAATCACCCCCCCAGGGGGATGGCAACGCCGCAATCCCTTCTCCTCCATTCTCATCTTGGGACCTTGGGCACGCAAGCACACGCGTCCAGCGTGAGTTTAAGCCACCGGGTCCGGGACTCGAACTGCTGTCAGCTACATGGGAGTTCAGTGACATAGACATTATGCTAACTGCTGGTCCCACACTACACTGCTTAAGATTACATATTCTCTCTCTTAATCCCATCACAACCCAATCTTACACATGAATTTTGGGGGGACATTTGAAACATGACAGGCATCTGGTTGTCAATCAAACCATGACCAAGTGAGGAAGGGTGTGGGGCATTGGCTAAAAATGTCTCCACTCTACTCTGCCCCCTGATTATCCAGCACCCACACATGATTTCCATGCAGATGGTCTTTTAAATACCCCTTTCTTTGCTTCACCCCAAATGTGTCATCTTAAAGTCCCACCTTCCTGGCTTCTTGGTGTGGCCGGCCATCACTCCTCCCCTCCCTGAGACCCTCCGTTTTCGGCAGAGGTGGCCAGGCAGGGCAGGTGCGGTGACCAAGTGACCGAGTGACAGCGTGCATGCTGGCTGGTGGCTGGGCTGCTCGACTTCCTCCGATCCTGTCTGGGACATGTTTGCTGACCTTCTGTGAGTCCCGGTGACAGCTGCCCTGGGTCACTGTGTGCCCTCCCTGTCCTAGGAGCTCTTTGAGAAGCTGGTCCGTCACCTGTGCAGCGGACCAAGCCACCTCCTGATCCTCACCAGGACTGAGGGCACTGATGATGTAGTCACTGCCTGGCGAGCCCTCATGGGTCCCTGTGACCCCAACATGGCCAGGAAGGAGCAGCCTGAGAGGTGATGTCCCTAGCTGTGGTCCCTGTCCACCTCCAACCACGTCCTGGGGAGCCGAGAGCCTCACTTACAGTGACAGAGGCTCTGGTGACCAGGAGTGCCCCTCACTGTTACAGAGCTGGGGACACCCTGGCTTTCTTACACTGTGACCGGTCCCAGCCTTTGCTGAGTGCCCTGTGAGCTGTCCCCTGCTGACCCCTCCCTTCCCTGACCCTCTCCCCAAGTCTGCTGTGGGACTCAGCCCTCAGGCTCTGTCCTTTCCCTTCAGCCCGATGGGCCGTGGAGTGGTCCCAGGAAGACACAACTTGCAGGGCCCGTCAAGTCGGACTGGCGGGGCCTGGAATCCTGCTCCACTTCCCAGCAGGGTGTCCGGAGGCCCTCGAGTCTGAGCACCCTGCTCTGCACCCTGCACTAGGCTGGCGTGCCTTCTCCTCGGCCCTGGGGTGTCTGTCTCAAAGCCACATGCCCCGTGTCAGAGGCTGAGAGGCCCGGCCACCAGGGAAGACAGTGACGAGAGGCCGAGGGACTGCAGCCGGGCCGTGCAGGGGCGGCCGGAGCATCTGTGAGTGAGGCCACTTGGGCTGGTGGGCGCAGCCCAGGGTCCGGTGGTCGGGCGCTGCGTACTGGGCCAGTCCCCAGCCTCAGCGCTCTCACCAGCCAGATGCAGATGTGAGCACCCACCAAAACGGTAAGACCGGTGCAGAGACGAGAGAGGAGGCCGAAGAGCGGCCCTTGACACACAGGAAGCCCTAGCGATAGTCATTTCTCTTCCGGGGCTACCGTGAGCAGTAACTGCAAAGCCACCTCCAGCCCTCAACCGGGGCTAGCCCTGGGACTAAGATCAGCATGACAGCAGCCCCGGGCATCCCCGCTACCCTCTGTAAGCAGTGACAGCCGTGTTGCCCTCAGGCAGAGGTGGTGACCCCATACCCTCTGTAAGCGGGGTGACAGCCGTGTCACCCTCAGAGGCAGTGGTGGTGACCCCAACGCCAGCTCCCGCCAGCATCGCTGTGCTTGTGTTCCCTAAGCGAGACCGCGGGGACACAGGGCGCGAGCGGTAGGTGTGCAAGCGAAGCATCTCTCCAAAGGCAGCCATGGCTTCACGTTCTGTCCCTCTTCCCAGCCTCCGAGCTCAGTATGGCACTGAAATGCCCTTCAACGCGCTCCATGGAAGCCGGGACAGAGGAGACGCGCACAGGGAACTGGCCCTGCTCTTCCCCAGGTTTAAGTTCTCGGAAGGCGACGTGGAAGCCCCTCAGGGTAAGTCAGGGGGCTGAGGTCTGAGTGGAAAGGGGTCTGTGACTACAGGCAGAAGCGAGCGGGCTGATAACATGGCAGCTACGTCTCTGAGCTAGTAGAATGCTGTGCTGAAAATGTGGGCCCCTATAGGGAACCAGCAGTTAGCGTAATAGCTATGTTGCTGGACTCCCACGTAGTCAACCGCGGTTTGCGTCCCAGACCCGGTGGCTTAAAACTCACGCCGGGCGCGTGTGCGTGCGTGCCCAAGATCCCGACAGGAGAATGGAGGA